AAGGGTGGTACCGCCAGGGCCCCCCCGTTTATGTTTCCCCCCCCCCCCCCGTGACCAAACCCTACCGCCCCCCCCCCCACTGTGCCCCTCGCAGCTTCCACCCGGTGTCGCTGAAGGAAGGGGAGTGCGCGGAACTGACCAACAAGGAGAGGGCTCGGGCGAGGATCCAAGTGGAGGAATGCTGGGAGGCTGCCAAAAAGGACGGGACCTTCGCACGCGGCTACGAGCGCGCCCAGAAACAGTTCTCCTAGGCTGCTGCTGCTGCTGCTGCTGTGGTTGGTAGGGCGTGCGTGCGTGTGCGCGAGGCACCTCTGCTTCTTCCTCCTTCTCTCTTACCTATTGTGCGGTCCTGTCCTTTCTTGCCCCCCCCGACGTTTTTGAATCGACGGCCGTTCTTCCGGCTGCATATTGGCGTCTGTGATTATTGTTGGTAGACGGGTGGTTGGTTGGTTGATGGCTGACTGGGGCGACCGCCGATGTTTTTTTTAAAGCAGTTTTGTAGGCGATTTTTGATCGAGAGAGTACAGCGGCGTTCCTTGGTCGAGAGCTGAGAGTGAACGCACGGTTGGCTGGACCTGGACCTACATATAAACGACAGTTGCTTTATCTTGTTAATTGGAGGCCCGTTGTCATGACTGCCTAAGATTGTGCGTGTGGGGGTGATTATTGGCTCATCTGCCGCGCTATCTGGCGGCTTGTCGCACCGTGTGTTGCGGATCATTCCATCTGCTTCCGCGGGTTTTTCGGCCGGTATTGCGGGTCGTTCCGCCCGGTCTTTGTTTTTGGTGGTGGAAAAAAAAGAAGACAGTACCTGAAGGTGGGGGAACACAGTTCCTCAGCACCGCGTTTAGGCGAGACAACATCCCGCACACCAAGTTTGGAGATGGAAAAGCGTAGCCGGTCCGGTCCGTCCCTGGTAATCCCGGTCTCGCTGGTGGCACGCCGGTCGAGGAGACGGAGTCAAGAAACACGCAGAATTAAACACCTTTAACATGGCGGGTAGGACGGCTTTTAAGACGGCAAGCCAAAGGAAGTCTTTGAACACAGTAGCGGCAGGGTGGCTTTTAAGAGGGCTGGGGGCGGGAGGACTTTTACGACGGCAGGCGGGCAAGGCCCCACCACACCCCACGCATGACGATGCGACCGAAACTGTCTCGGGGGAGGGAGAAGATGAGAAAAGGGGGTAAGATGATGAAGATATGGTCGATCGTCGTTTTTGTGTTGACTCCCTCCTTTGTTTTCGCCCCCCCCTAGCACGGGAACTGTGTGGTGCTGGCGTGTGTTGTGAGGCGCCCCCCTGCTTGTTGTGCGGATCGGCTGTAGGACGGGGGTGGGGGGGGTTGCGGGAAAGAGTGGGAGAAGTCGGAGATCGGTCGCTCGTGTTGATAGTGGGGGGGGGTTCACAAAGAGGTTTTCGTTTGTTTTTTTTGCCTGGAGGGTTTCTGGAGGGTTTCTCGGGGAGAGTGGGGAATAGAATTGAAGACGGAGATAGATGACGATTTGATAGCGAGAAATTTGGTAATGATATCCCTAAAGAAACTTGAGTCAAAGGTGCGCGAGGTGAGGCAACCCGTGACACGAAACGATCCATCTGTCTATGCCGTCTAGGCTTTTCGATTGCGTGCAGGGCAGGGTTTCAACACCCGAGGACAGGCGTTCCTCTTCGGTGCTCACCCTATCTTTGCGCGAGCACTGCATTGTTGACGCCTTTTTTTTGGGCTGTTGACCGATCATCCTGCCTCGGGGGAGGGGGGGACGCCGCGAAACATCCCCCCCACACAAACGTCACCCCCAAGATGAGTAGGTGTATGCGACTCCACTTGTTTGTCTCGAGCGACGGGTGGCTTTTCCGTGCCGCCTAAAAGGGGGAAAACATCCCCAGGAGATGCATTTATTTTTTTTATCATTGAACCTGTATAAAGACATACATGCATGCAGTGGGGAGTCCTGTTTACATAGTGCCGACCCCAGTTACAGCACTGCCAGGGGGGACAGATTAAATAACAATCCCCAAAATCACTGTGTACTTTGAACGTTTGAGCAATGCCGGTCAATTTTCGGGGCATGGGGGTTTGTGCACTAAACCAGCCCCCCCCCCCCCCATCAGCAGTACATGTGTGTTGACTACAATTAATAGTCCTCGCGGGATGGTCGCATCTCTGAAAGCACCGCCGCGCGCGGTGCAGTCAAGGGCGCCCTCTCGACTCTTAACACGTTGTGGCGAGAAAAATGGAACGCTATATATTACTACTGCTGAGAGGTAACAGACTGGGCGTAGCCCCGGCCTCAACTCAAGCCTTCAGTAAGGGCTTGGCAAGGGAAGAAGCGAAGCGTTTGTTGCTGTGGAGCATGACGCGAGTATGTAGCTTCGACGTCCCACGAAGAAATAATAACTGATTTTAGTTATGTGTGACAGCAAGAACAGTTGTGGACACAATACACCCTTCTTTATCCGCCGGTAAAAGGGGTGAGCGTCGTCTACTCTGTCTCTCTCTCGGTCTCGGTCTCACTCTATTCCAACGTGATGGTCTATGGCCACCTCTTCTTTACGTGTGGCTTAACCGGCTGTCGCACTTTCGGACTTCCCGCGGCACGATTGGTTGCCGAGAGACCCTGCTCTGTGCGAGAGCGGGAGCATGGGGATACAAACACAACCATAGCCAAAACCTGTTGTGCCGAGAAATCTAGACCACAGGTTGACTCCACGTGGGTGCACCGTGTTACTACAGTGCTGTATATACGTATAATATGTGTTCGATGTAAAGGGTTTAACACCCAAAACCCTCCATGTGGTGCATCGTGTAAAGTGCGCATGAATATCTTCGTCTTATCTCTCATTTATTATGTCTAAACACCGCAAATAGATATACAGTTACCCAAATAAATCCCCCTGAGAGCCATTCCACCGCCCTCAACATCATAAATGCACATGTCACCAACATATGATACGCAACAAAATGTTGCTACCTATTCCTTCCCACTGGCCACCTCGAGTTATTCCGGACGTGATAATCTGGTTTGGTACTACTATGTATGGAACAACGTACAGGTTATTATACACTCCAGAAGCGAGACAAATCAAAGGAGGAGGAATGCTTGCATGTTGTCAAGAAACTCTACATAAGTTTCACCACCACCAATAGCCAGCAATCAATCGTGTAGGGAACACAGCAGTTTCCAGGCTCAGTCTGCTGACGAAATTCTGCCAACTCAATTAATAGAGACCGCGCAAGGTCTACAACAAGCAAATTGTGCGGTCTGGTCAGTACGACCAGACACAAAAAAAACAACAAGAGGCTAATTTACAGATTCAACAACAACAACCATGCATGTCTCTCGCAAACTGAGCGCACCCCCCCCTCCGGTATAACAAACCCGGAACATCTATCAGCTTCACAGCACACTACGAACCAAGCAACATTATTCAAACGATGCATACTATGCAAACAACGAAGAAGATAATTATCTTGGAACGCGCAACAGCCTACTGTACCTTTCCTTGCACGACGACCACCCATCACCAAATGGTCGGGTGTCTACACACTCTGGTTCTCACGTAGATGTCACGTAAAAAACAGTACACGTCAAAAGAGCGCCACCAAAAGTTAGCGGGCCTCACACTCCTCCTCCTCTCTCTCTCTCACGCGCACGACAAATCGTACCGCATCCACGATGTCGCCTCAACTAACATCGATCGTGAGCGAAAATCACAACTCTCTCGAAAAATCTACACGCCCCCTTCCCTGGATCGACAAACTCGCAATTTATAAAACGGCGAACAGCACCCATCAACAACGACAACAACAACAACAACAACAACAACAACAACAACAACAACAACAAACCGGTCGTCGCCCACACAGCAAGCGGAAACCGAGGACCGATCCCACCACTACACCATAGCAGGCCGGAGGCACAATTGATAGTTTAGGACAGATAGGAAAGAAAAGCTACAGTCTAGGGACGGCCAAATGAAGGCGAAGGCATGGGGAGCATGCACCTCGCGTTGTGGCGGCGGGTTGTTTCCCGCCACAAACAGCAGTCAGTTTGTGCAAACGAAATAATATTTTTTTCAGCTACCAACGGTAGCCGCCAAAAAAGACGTGTAGTATCGTCATGTGCTCTGAGATGTATGCCCGCTTCAGCTACCAACGGTAGCCGCCAAAAAAGACGAATAGTATCTAGCGTCATGTGCTATGAGATGTATGCCCGCTTCAGCTACCAACGGTAGCCGCCAAAAAGGACGTGTAGTATTTAGCGTCATGTGCTATGAGATGTATGCCCGCTTCAACTACCAACAACGACCGATAGCCGCCCGAAAGACGTGTGGTATCTAGCGTCATCAAATGTGTATGCCCGCTTAGCATTCAGCCAGCATGGCCGGGTGTGCGTGTGCCTGATCTGTCTATGTTCACCCCATCTACCGAGGGGCATTTTACACACACACACACGGTTTATCCTCCCCGTCGCCCTCCGTCGCATGCCAAGGACGATTGATCGTGACGGAAGGCAACAATATGCAGTCTAGTCGGTGGTGACAGCCTGAAAGGGGAGGTTAAACGCCGGGGGGAGGGGGGGGCGGCGGGTTAAGATGGGTCAACCGCAATTAGTGCAATATTATGATCGATCGCGGGTTATTTGTTGAGTTCTGGCGATTACAAGTAAACGCGGTTATCCATGATAACAGTACACGCAGCACGTTTAACGGTACTGTTTTCGTGTCATGTTCGGGGGGGGGGGGGGGGGCCCTCCCCCTTTTCCCCCAAACAAAAAAATGTTTTTTTTCAAAAATCCAAATCTAAAAAGGAAAAATTTTAAATATTAAAAATAATAAAAAAATTTAAAACGATAATACAAAAGGGTTAAAAATTTTTGTAAATTTTATTGAAAACCCCCGTGCTGTCCAAGGTTTCACCAAAAAAAAACAAAAAGAAAAACCCCCAACCGGGGGCCTGGCGGAAAAAAAAAAAAAGGGGGTTGTG